CCTTAGCCGGTTGAGCTATAGGCGCCGAGCCATATCCCATATAATCTTACAGCTTAATGTGGTCACGAGACTAAGCTCTAGCCAAAGAGATGTATATAGTTTTGTATGTTACTTCTGGGGAGTATCCTTAAGACGGAGGGGACACTTTCTTCCACTTCTTCTTGCATCCTGCCAGCTGGAGCAAGGATCAACGGCTTCATTGAATGAAATTCTAGCCGCCACCGTAGGTCGTAAGAACAAGGGCAACGTGTGAAAGAGCCTGCGCAGCTGATGACTTTAGGAATCCTGCATGCTAGGACTTCATCACCTGCCTGCACAAGTGTTTTATGTGATGGGAAAAATAAAGTAACTTTCCAGCCCTTTCCTAATTGTAGCCTTAATTCTGGGAAGGTCTCCTGGAAGCAACAGGTCCTACCATGAGTTCACCAGTTGGAAATAGACTCCACCCACCCACCCATCTATTGCTACTTTATGAGAATTTATCAAAAGACAGTGAGGCCTCAAATGAATTTCTTTCTCTCCTTTCCTTCCTTTCTTTCCTTACCTGTGGTTCTCAAATCACCCACGAGAGTTTGTAAGACATGGAAATTTCTGGGGTCTAACCTAGGCCTTTCACATTATACTTCTGAACGTGAGACATGAGAATCTGCATTTACAAGCAAGTTATTCCAACGCAGATGGTCCGTGCACTACCTTTGAGAAATCCCACTTTGTCATCACCATGCTCAGTCCAAAATCCCAGGTGGTGCTTGTTTCTAAGCACCATCATCTCAGCAGCGGGTAATGAAGCTTAATAGGGCTGGCCAATGCATTTATTCTTTCAAACAATATTTGTCAAGCCCTGAACTAGGTACTGGGGATATGAAACAAAAACTCACAATTCTCTTTTGTATAAGTCACTGTTATTTTGGATTTCCAGATTTTATAGCAAGAAATATAATTTTAATAAATGCAGTAATCAAGGTCTATGCTAGGTTAAGGTAAAGCTGACCTAAATAGGAACTGTAGAGGACTCTAAAGAGAAGCAGGCAACATCAAAATGCAGGAAGTAAAACATGACTCACTCATTCATTCCACCTGCATGAAGCTTCAGTGCAAGAGATCTAGAGCCTGCCATGTGGTGACTGCTCAGAGATATCAATGGGCCAGGCAAGGTGGCTCATGCCTATAATCCTAGCACTCTGGGAGGCTAGGTGAGTGGATCACCTGAGCTTAGGAGTTGGAGACCAGCCTGAGCAAAAGTAAGACCCCCATCTCTAAAGAAAAAAAAAAAAAGATGGGTGTTATAGCAGGAGGCACCTGTAGTCCCAGCTACTCAGGAGGCTGAGGCAGGAGGATGGCTTGAGCCGAAGACTTTGAGGTTGCTATGAGCTATGACACCACAAACCAGGGCAACAGAGTGAGACTCTGTCTCAAAGGGGAAAAAAAAATGAAATGAGATGTTACTGGCAAGCAGCGAATTAATTTGGAGAAACCAATGGTCCTTTTTTCTTGGGGAAGGTCTATCCTGCCAAAGGAGGCATCCAACTATATATGGCATGTATGCTTGAAAGAATGAATGAAAGAAATTGCTTTCTATTACTCAGTATTTTTTGTGGCTCAAAGAGTCACATGATAATAGGAGAAAAAAATTATTATCCACATTACTGCTGCTCTAAACCAATACTTTCACTAAGGTTATATGCACCAAAGCATTTAATTATTATTTTTTTTTTTTTTTCTGTAGAGACAGCGTCTCACTTTGTTGCCCTTGGTAGAGTGCTGTGGCGTTACACAGCTCATGGCAACCTCCAACTCCTGGATTTAGGAGATTCTCTTGCTTCAGCCTCCAGAGCAGCTGGAACTACAGGCACTCATCACAATGCCCAGCTATTTTTGGTTGCAGTTCAGCTGGGCTGGGTTCGAATGTGCCACCCTCGGTATATGGGGCCGGTGCCCTACTCAC